CTTCGGTTTCACTAGAAGAACCCATAAATTTTTATAGAAAAATTCAACTTCAAAGTGAAAAAAATATTGACTACAAAGTGAATAATGGTAGAATGAGAAGAAAATGTATGAAGAGTTGGTGTTAAAAGTGATTGGTATTTGTTGGTATTTATAGGAAAAAAAAATCAGTATTTTTTGGGTATTTTTTCAAAAAAAAATTGATTTTTTTTCATTTTTTTTTTGGCAGAATTAATAGCTGTCGTTGGATTGCTGGAAAATTGAATCGGAGCGCCCAGATCATCGCCACGTGGAAGAGAGCCGTTGGGTGCAAGTTTCGATTTTTTTTTTTCATTTTTTTATTTGCGAAAAATGGCTGCCTTTGGATTTGGAATAAAGCTGATCGGACAGCTCGAGAATGCGCCACGTGGAATAGACCCGTTGGCGGGTCACTGTAGCGGGCGCGTATTTAAACAGCAGCGCTGACGTCAACCCAAAACGAGTTTTGTTACTCGGGCTGGACCTCCCCAAGGGCTAGCCCATGCAAATTTTTTTTGCTGGGGCCCACGCCTTGCCCTGGCAGATCTGTGTTGCTGGAAACAGCATTTTCCCCCAGCCCTCCCCCCAGGCCTCTTGGTGGAAATGCTCTAACCATGGCTAAGGGCAAATGGGTGAAGTTGCTCTTATAAACACACCCAAAACCCATTATTACACACACTCAAAACTCATTTATAAACACATCCAAAAAAATATAAAATTGTTGATTTTGGATATGTTTCTATGTTTAAATAGTGTTTGTGTTTTTTTATAAATACATGTCTAGGATTGGGTTTATTTATAAATTTGTATTATTTTTAACGAAAAATTGGATGAAACTTCATAGAAACTAACAGCAGGGGGTAAATTGGCCATTTAAAATAGTCTGATGGTTAAATTGGCTGAAAAAATGATTCAGGATGGATATTTCAATAAGCGTTATAGTTCAGGAGCGTTTTAATCAGATCGGAGAGCCCAGATGACGCCACGTGGCAACAGGAAAAAAATAAATCAGTGGGGTACTGTAGCGGTACTGTAGTGATACTGTAGCGGGTACTGTAGTGCTGACGTCAGCAGCCCGAGTTTTGGACCTCGGGCTGAACCTGCCTTCGCGCCAGCCCGAGTTGGTGGGTCCCACACCCCCCCGGGCCTGGGCTGCTCCGCTGGAACACAATATTTTTTTTTTTCCCCCTAGTCTTGGGCTAGGCTCATGGGTGGAAAGGCCCTTAGGGGTAAAAATGTTATTGATGTTTTTTGGGTTGGGCCGTGAAGAGTCCAAACCCCAAAAAACAAACACAAAAAGTTGGAAGGGCATAAAAATGCGCCGAACAGCCCAGGTGGGTCCCAAAACTCCAACGCCATATAAGCATTTACCGCTGGTTTAATATCCGTACTATTCAAACTGCGCCGTCCGATCACCCACCAACTCAAAACCTTCCAAAATTTCGACACGTGGCACCGCAAAGTCACAGAATTTGAATGAAATCGTCAAGCGCGCAACAAAAATAGTGGGCCCGACCACGTGAGAAATGGCCCAGAGCATTCAAATACAGAAAACAGGACCCACCTGAGCGCAAAATTCAGGTCACGTGCCAAAATCTCCACTCGCACGTGCCAACTGTTTCTTCAAAAATTCAAAGCAATATTTGCTTCTGCTATATCTTTGGGTTTACTCGGACCTCCATTAAAGTTCAGCTTATATATCACACCAGGAAAAAAGGAAAAAAAAAAGAGGAAAAAAGAGAAGAAAAAAAGAGCCAAGAAGCTGCAATACAAGCTTTGAAAAAGATCGAGATTTCATTCCAGAAGTAAATGGTCGAGATTTTTCTGTGTATTTGAAGAAAGAGAGAGGGGTTGAGTTCCCGATCTGAGTTTGTGATTGGAGGGTCCGATTGAAATTTGGATCGGGTGCAGAGAGAGAAAGAGAGATGAACGGGGTTGGGAGACAAGGGCAGAGATCTAGTGCGGCAGGGGTGCACCACCAACGACAGTACTCCGATAACTTCTTGGAGACTTCGTCCAATGGCAGGTGGCTTCAGTCAGCTGGTCTTCAACACCTTCAGTCTTCCAACTCCTCTGGTGCTCCTCCTCAGGTCTGTTTTTGCTTCTAAAGAAAACCCATCAAAGTTCAGTCGAAATGCTATAGCAAATTTGAATTTTAGGTACAATTTTGTCAGCATTTGTTGTTTACTGGTTGCTATTTTAATGGAAAATTTAAACTTTTAATGATTTTGGTGTTACCATTTTGATCAGACCCAGATGAGATTTTGAATCAAAAGTTCAAGCATTGAGCTTTATAGATCTGATGGTATTGTTTTGTATCTAAACCGTTTGATTGTTGGCTTTTGTGCATTCAAAGCAGGACTATGGCTTCTATGGTGGAGGTGGAGGAGGACCGGCTTCTAGAGTGTACCGGAACGCACAGAGAGGGTACAATGAGTTCTACGCAGAGGCGCCATCGACACCTCCTTACAATTCGCGGAGAAAGAGCGGCGACGAGTCGCCCAATGAGTTCAGTCCTGGACTCTTGGATCTGCATTCCTTTGATACTGAGCTCATTCCTGACGTGGGTCTCTTTTCATTTCTAGTTACTCTTTCGTTGTTTTCTGTTTCTGTGTGGCCACCTTGGCCATCTCTGTATTTTATGGTCTATTGCAATAAAATTTGTTTTCTTTTAAAAAATAAAATTTGAGTTCTGTTATGATCCATATGTGTAAATGTGTTTCCGTGCCTAAGTTTTACCATTGATTTTTGATGTTGTAGTTCAGTTCATGAAATATTTCTTATTACGAACATTGTGATTATATGTTTCAATCACTTCTTTTATTTAATCGGAGATCTTATACTTGCATTCACATTTGAACGAGTGAAATTAAATGCCTTTTGTTGTTGTTAATATACTAAACCTTGGTAGGCGTCTGCATTACTAATGTTTAGTTGCTGAGGTTTAGTGTCATATTTTTGTTGTTGTCAACAGATATTTTGTTTAACTCATTTTAGTTTCATTTTTGTATTTGATAAGAAATAGATGGATAGTCGTGCTAATTTTTTTTTTTTTTTTGTATCTCATGTATAGATGCAAGTCACTGGGTTGTATGATGGTGCTTCTCTATATTATCCGTCTCGCGGTAGAAGCTTTGATGATTCTGAACCCTACATTTCAAACAAACAAACAGAAAGGGCTCGTGTACCAGAAAACAACCTCCTAAAAAGTTTTGCTGCAGACAAAGAGAAAGCTAGTTCTGTAGCAAAGATCAAAGTTGTGGTATGTTCTATCATAACATCATAATTAGTGCTTGTGATTTCCACTTTTTATCTGAAATGAATTCAAATGCCCATGAAACCACCAGGCATTTTCTGATCCAAAGTTTGTAAACATTGTGAAGTTGCTTGATGTGGTAAAGGAAGAAATTGTTTGAACTTCATACCGAGTTAGGCCTGTTACACTCCTTTTTTCTTTCCTAAGTTGGTTTATGATTGTATGAATGCAGGTGAGGAAGAGGCCGCTTAATAAAAAGGAGTTGGCAAAGAATGAGGCAGATATCATAGATACACTTTCCAACTCTGTAACAGTCCACGAGACTAAGCTCAAGGTAAATGTCACTTGGTGATGTGTTGGCATGATTACGGCTTACCAGAAAAAGATCTGTCTTCTGGTCAACAAGAACAAAATGAAGAGCTGTCTCTTTTTTTGGCCAAGGGCATGATAAAAGTTATTTGTATAAGCATAATGATCAAAATTAAAGTCAGAAAATATAGATGATGCTTCGTGCCCTTTTTGTTTTTGGGCTGTCAAAAGATCCGCTAGAAAAGGAACAATTATATATGCTTTAAAGGTAGGATGAACAAACTTTAACAGGTTTGGAAAAAAAAACAAACGAACTTTAACAGGTAATATGTATCAAGCACCTATAAGAGAGATTAGAAAAATATCATCAGTATCCATGGTTGCTGCTCGTCATGTTGTGTGGAAATATTTGACATCCATATTTCATTTGTAGTCTTGTTACGCATTGCATTAACTGATAATCTTTCATGAGTTTTCTTGTTTTTCCTTTCTCCTTGACTAACCTGATACTGAGCTCAATATTCTACCAGTACCAATGCTTTTATGTTTCTGAGTTCGTTCTCGACATTCTGCAGGTTGACCTAACAGAATACATGGAAAAACATGAATTTGTGTTTGATGCAGTGCTGAATGAGGAAGTCTCAAACGATGAAGTACGTATATTGCTATTAAATGAATAACAGAAAACAAAAATTACAAAAACATATATAAATGTGGAATTATTGATTTATTATCACTAAGATTATATTTGAAACACGTCTCTCACTATGCTTTAGGCTACTTATCATACCGTTTTCATCCTGTATTTTTAGGTGTATCATGAGACTGTGGAGCCCATAGTTCCAATAATATTCCAGCGAACAAAGGCAACTTGTTTTGCATATGGACAAACTGGTTAGTGGCCGTCTCAAATCTATGGTTTTTTTAGAGACTTGTTGAACAACTCTGGATAATTTTACATGTAATATTATAGTATTTTTCCTTGTAGGTTCTACATCCTTATTCTTATATTTGATAAAAAGTAAATCATTCTGATAATGTTCCACCTGGATTATCTTACTCTACACACTTTAAGTTGATGACACTTCCTGATAGACCTACTCTGAGTATATTTTCCTACATTTAGTGTGGAGTGGTGTAAACTTCCTAACAATGCTAAGTAATTTAAAGAAGGAAAATTATTTTCCTTTATCATTACACACCCACAGAGACTCACATGCTTAAAATATGTAAAATTTTCCTTTCTCTATATGTAAATTGCTCATTTGTTTACATCAAAATCTCAAAGCAAAATGGCCTAAAATATTGAGGAAATGTCAACTAATACCATTTTATTATTTTTCACACTTGGGACTTTGATTGATGCCTTTTTGAGGCATTAAATATCTGGTAGATTTACTAATCAAAGTATGTTTCGGTTGCCTATTCAGGGAGTGGAAAAACATATACCATGAAACCATTGCCTCTTAAAGCATCACGAGACATCTTGAGGTTGATGCACCATACTTACCGTAGTCAGGGATTTCAGTTATTTGTGAGCTTCTTCGAAATATATGGGGGAAAACTTTTTGATCTCCTCAACGATCGAAAGTAAGCCATTCTATCCTTTCTCCTCTAGTTAGTTTTAAGAGGTTTAAAGATACTCGAAACTTACAATTCAAATTCTACAGAAAGCTTTGCATGAGAGAAGACGGCAAACAACAAGTTTGTATTGTGGGTTTGCAAGAATACAGAGTGTCAGATGTGGAAACCATTAAGGAGCTGATTGAAAGAGGAAGTGCCACAAGAAGTACTGGTACAACTGGTGCAAATGAAGAATCCTCTCGTTCACATGCCATACTTCAGCTTGCTATTAAGAGGTCAGTTGATGGCAGTGAATCGAAGCCTCCCCGTCTTGTTGGCAAGCTATCCTTCATTGATCTTGCTGGAAGTGAACGTGGTGCAGATACTACAGATAATGACAAACAGACAAGGTATGGTTCATTCCATCTTCAATTAATTTTATCCCAGAGGAAAGCCTATCACTTTTCATATCTGTGAATGTATGTATATAGTAGCGTACTGCGCCGGAAGTCACTGTTTAATATATTAGACTTAAGATATCTGTCTTCTCCTGTTTGTCTATATTGTTGGGGATGGTGGAAATGTTTATTTTTTACATGTCACATCAGTCAATGAAAAGTTTGGGATATAAGAAAGGGAAGTAATTTAGTGCTGGAGTTGAAGGTTGGTGAAAAAACATCATAGCTCAAATCACATATAAGATTTAGATGCTCTTTTCTCGATATTTGGTGGATTGCTGCTAAACTAGCTGTTTCAAAAAAAATGATGCAGAATGGAAGGTGCTGAGATTAATAAGAGCTTACTTGCATTGAAGGAATGCATTAGAGCTCTTGACAATGACCAGGGTCATATTCCTTTCCGAGGAAGTAAATTAACTGAAGTTCTTAGGGATTCATTTGTTGGTGACTCCCGTACTGTGATGATATCATGCATATCACCAAGCTCCGGATCCTGCGAACATACTCTCAACACTTTAAGATATGCTGACAGGTAAAATGCATTTTTGTAGAAGTAAATTTCATGGTATATATATGTTACTCATTCATTCCCCTTCTAATGTTTTCTTGCTACTAAAATTACATTCTAGGGTGAAGAGCCTTTCGAAAGGGAGCAACCCTAAGAAGGATATGCTACCCTCAACCTTAAACCTCAAGGAACCAACAAATTTACCCTTACCTTCAGCTTTGCCCACTGCTTCTACCTTTGAGGTTGACACAAATGATAGATGGCCTGTACAAGTTGAAAAAGAGGAATTTGATGCTTCAGAAGAGCCCTATTATGAGGCCAAAACATTATGGAAGAGAAATGGGAAGCTAGAGCAGTACAATGTATCAGCTTCAGAGGACAAAGTTCGTAAGCCAAATGGTCAGACAAAATTGGAACTGCCAAAGTTTCATTCAAGGAACTCAAATTCAGATGATGATTTAAATGCCCTGTTACAGGTAATAACAACAAAAGACTTAAGTACAAAGACATGATACAAATAGTTCAGAAAATGGTGTGGCAGAACAATTTGTGATATAAACTTTCTATAATTTCTACAGATAGGATTAACCACTACGTAAAGTTATAAACCAGAGTATTGTTAACGTGTAAAGCTTATGTTGCATGTTTCCAGGAGGAGGAAGATCTTGTAAGTGCTCATCGGAAACAAGTTGAGGACACTATGAATATTGTTAAAGAGGTATGCGATTTCAATTCATAATTGAGGCTTGAATGATTTTTTGTATAATTTTATGTTCCATATTTTAGCATGCAAGAATGCAACTGGATGGGTTTCTTGAGTTTCTAAATGCAGATAGCCTGATGCATACCTTTTGATGATTTATTGTTTTCTTTAGATTTCCAAGCATGTGTTGAGTTCTGGCAGACCTGATATACGCATGTATGAAGTTTTGATTTGTGTAATGCATTTGCAGGAGATGAATCTGTTGGTAGAAGCAGATCAACCGGGGAATCAGCTGGACGATTATGTTACTAGATTGAACGCCATTCTATCTCAGAAGGCTGCAGGCATTCTGCAATTGCAAACCCGTTTAGCTCATTTCCAGAAGCGTTTAAAAGAACATAATGTTCTTGTATCTTCTTCTGGTTACTGAATTCATGCGGAACTGGAGATTATATAGTTAGATCAAGTGGTGCTGCTCAACAAAATTTTATTGCAAGATGGTGTTCACAATAGCATAAAGGATTGGGTAATTCTTTTTGTCGTGAGATATAAGCGGAAGCATAATATGAAATTGGCATCTTATGTGGGCCATTTGTTGGGTATTTCTTCATGTAAACTCTACCAGGCCTCAGGGACTTGGAGTTTTCCTTGGACTGTCCAATTTTTATTTTACAGTGTACGATTTTTATGAGAATCGGATATCATTTTTTACTAGCCATTGTATGGATTCCCATGCTTCTGTAAAGTTCTGGACCCTTGTACTTTGATTAAAATTAATTGGACTGCTTAGTGATTGTACCCGTCTTCTTCAGCAGGTTATACATACCAGATTTTCATGTTCTTCATCCTTTAAATTCTGCAGAATTTTTCATGTTTGTAATTCATAGTAACAATGACATCAAAGTTTATTCTAATAAACTTTCGGAGGCTCAGCTTTAACAACTCAAATTGTGTCAAGCTGGAGCTTCTTTCTCAAATTATTGGTTAATCTCAAGATCCATGACCCGTCTTGGGTCATTTCCTAATCCAGTAGTGACCCATTTGCTTCAAATTGATATCGCAACACACACCAACAAACTTTGAAACATAAGGGCGTTTTTGTCATTTCACGTTCTGTCTACCAAGCCTACTTGTTCCGGCGAGACTTAGCCATGGCAATGATCAAGCTCTCAGACCTCCAAGTCTTGACAACACCAATGGGTCAGATCCGGCTCAATTGTTCAAAAGTGGTGTGATGGATAGTTCAACGTATTATATGCTTGATTTTTTTTTTTTCTTCTTGTTGTTTTCTCATAGTTTGAGTTTCCAGAATAGGGCAGGGCTCTAGATACTTGTCAAGACCCTAGAGATGGTTTTAAATTGTCTAAAAAGTCAGTTTAATTCCTGAATCAGATTCACTAATTCACGTTCATATTGAGCTGCAGTGAAACACTTATCCAATCACAGGGGAAAAGTTAATGCAGGTTTTCATTGATGAACAGGCTCTAATGTTGAGTGAGTGCAAAGATGCTTGAAAAAGAAATATCCTATACATGACATTTTGAAGCAAGTCATGGCTACAAATTATTGTTATTACAGAAAACCTGTGCTGCTTGCAATTAAGTATCTTCATGGAAGAAGGCAACTAATGCCAGTGCCTATGGGGTCACAAGACAGACTCAAACAAACAGTATTGGATTCAGAAAGGTGTACAAGCCTTGCGAAGTGAAAATAAAAACCAAAACACACACACAAACAATGGGGAGTTACACACAAAGTGGAAAAGGAAACAAAATGGGGAAAGAACAACAGATCTATATGCACAAGGAATAAATCACCAACACATTCATCTACAACCTAATTGAGCCAAGTCTCTGTGATCCAAGTCTCCTCTTTGAATTGTTGATGTTGATAGACGCCGGTGGAACAGAGAAGTCCGAGTACATATCCAAGAAGAACTTATCAACAATGTCAACGTATACCGGACTTTTGAGGCGAGAGTAGTAATGAAGTGCCTCTTCTACATCCAGCACTTGTTCTACATCACTGGTATCCACCATTTCGAATTCCTTCATCCTTTTGGCTAAGCTTCCTCCATTCATGCTCAGCAAAGATGACTGAACTTCTTTTTTTCCCAGATGATGAGAACTTCCCATCTGCTTCTTTTGCTTTAATCCCCCTTCTTGTTTGCTCTTCTTAGGACTCTGCTTTGAAAAATCCAGAAAGCTCCCATTACATGCATCATCTTCCTTTGTTGGTTCTTTTGAAGCACTATCTCTCTTGTTTGCCTTATTTAGAGTAGACTCCCAGTCATCATAAAAATCAGTGTAGAACTGATCTGTTTGGTGATATTTCGGGTCTCTCCCACAATAGAAGGGATTGAAGGAAAGGGTTTTGGGCAATTTCTTGTATCCACCAAAGAAGAAGGACTTGAGGTTTCCAAGAGTTTTGTGAAAGAAGTTTTTGCTGTTATGAATGGTTTCTTGTAGCACCATTGCTGGCTCTACTAAAGTATAGCAAGGCTAGTTGTTCCTCTCTTTCCCTCACTGCCTCAGTCTACAAGAACAGACAAAACCCTAATCTGTTTTGGCTTCAAATCTGTCCTCTTCTGAAATTGCTTCAATGTAACAGATGAGAGAGATTAGACAGTTCAAGCTCCTTGAGATTCATAAACAATGAAATCTAAAGACAAAACTTACTGATGTTCTCTCTCTCTCTCTCTCTCTCTCTCTCTCTCAAGCTAGTGACTTAACTGATAACATGATCATAGATCAGAAGGCCTGGCTTATTAATTTATGACTTTGAGCAAATTAAAGTTTGTCAATAGTTTAATGGAGACACATTCAAGATATTCAAAAGACACCAAAAAGTAGATTACCAGATTGCGGACGTTGGGGTCCAATTATACCATTTTTTGTTTTTGACTAGTTGTTGTATAAAGTGCAGTGGCATTGATTAAGATGCAAAGCTAAAGCTTAAAGGCAGTGGTGCTGTAATTTAATAAGGTTAAAGGTAGTGGATTGGTGAACGCAAAAATTAATTGTTGTTAAAAACAAAACAAAAAAAATAAAAAATTGAATGTGTTGCCTAAATTTTGACCCATGTGGCCCATAGACCCCAATGGTCCTGTTTGATCGTTAGAGATGTCTGCCCCACAGTCATAACATACCATTCTAGACGTACACACTAGCAGCAGGCCTTGTAGGTCAAGAGTCAACTAGTTCAGATTAGCAAAATAATTTGGGATTAGGTGACCCTTAAAAACAAAATTAATTTGAATTAATTGGACTAATCACAATTCCCATTATATTAAAAGAAGGAGCTGCCTGGTCCCCTTCTGCAAGGCTGCTGCCATGTTCTGCTGCTGATATCGGGATAAGGTGCATTTGGAATTCTGCACACTCAAGTCACTTTCTCACAGTTGCCATTAAAAACAATCCTCCCTCCATCCTCATATACTTTAAAATCTGTTGCAGTTTGCAGAGGAATGGTAAATGGTAAATGGTAAATGATGTTAGCCTTGTTTATATAACTCAATGCACAAGATTGTGACTTCAGAATGACAAGTTAGGTCTGGTCATTAATGAGCCACCTTCCAGGCTGCAAGAAGACCCCAACTCTTCACAACTTCTGTAATCACATATGTTTAGGCTTGTTTTTGTGGCAGGGTTTTGCTTGTCTTATTTGTCAATTCAATGTAACTATTGTAGATCCTTCTTGAGAGAAGAATGAATCAGGAAGAATTTTTCCTCTTGACATCCAACCATTTCATTGTATCAAACATAATATGAGATTATCCACATCAAATCATTCTTTACAATCCTATCAAACATATACTTTTTGAATATTTGTATTTGCCTGTTTTCTTTTGTTTTGTTTCAGCACCACTACTACTCCTATAGCTGCTGAGGCCCACCCAACTAAAAAGAACATGAAAATACAACTAATGCATCGCTTTACCTGCATTATGCAATCAAGTGAATACATAGCTTTATAAGATTTACTGAGCTATAGATTCTTGCTTCTCTTCTCAATCTCAGCTACTTCCTCCAGATAACTTATTGCTGCAACCATCTCTTCTTGTTATGTTTGAAGAACTGATGCAACATTCTATGAACTTCACCATAATCAGTTGAAGCAACGAAGCGATCCTTTATCCACTGAGGAAGCTTGCTAGTTGGATGGCAAAAATTCCGTTCGGAGGAATCAGATGCGTACCGTGTGTCGACTAGTAAAATTGCTGCATAGTCATTTATATGCCGGATTGCTCTACCTAATACAGTCAAGGAAAAAACCCATGTCAAGACAATTGAATGAGAAACTGACTTCAAAATATGTTTATATCAGTAACAAAAAAGATGATCATAGAACTGCAGCTACATGGATGGCATACAAAAGGGGGCTGGCCAGCATTTGAAGAACTTGATAGTGATAATATTTGGAGAATCATGTATGGATGGGCATTAGATTTCCTGGTTCCGCCTTAATCTTATTCTAGATTATTCATGCATAGTTTCAATAAAACATCTTTAAGGTTGGTCAGGCTTCATGTTTTTGAAAAATATTTAAAATTGTAAAACAACATACCAATGGACTGATTAACAGCTTTCATGCATAGATTCTCATAATATTCTTTTCCTCTGCGTCTGCAACTTCTGAGGACATTAAACCCTGCATGTACTTCTTCACTGCACAGTTCATTACCAAGTGAAAGATTTGGTGTCTTAGTGGAATCTGAATCTCCCAACCCTTCAATATACTTCACCCTCTCCATTAACTCAATATCAGAAGGGCTAGCATAGGGCAGTCCAACCATGACTATACACCGGCCCATCCCATCACTTAAGTTGATGCCTTCTGATATCTTACCACCAACGACAGCAAGAAGCATTGCACCACTTTGAGAAGGATTTTCTTTCCGCTCCCCAGAAGACAATGTATCAATTGTTTCCTTGTATTCCTTGAGAACAGATTCTACATATGTATTCTTTCTAGGCTCTCTAAATAGACGCTTCTTCTTCTTAATCCTTTCAAGGATGCCTGAAGCCTCCCAGGCATCATAAACTTGCCCTTCATAATCAAACGAGGAGAAGAAGACAACAATTCCCTCAGGAACCACTGTCACCAAATTACAAAGCAATTGCCCTAGTTCCTGTATCTGTAAATCCAAGCCCATCAACTTAAATAGTCAGCCACCATGTATAATGAACACCAAAAAAAGCAATAAGCAGAAAAAGGGTGCAACTGTACTTGACATAAAAAATAATATTTCCACTGGGCTTGAACTGTGTATTATATTTTCAAAACAAAATAGGAGAATAAATGGTGATAAATACAATAATGACATAGTAATGACTTCATCCGAAAACGCTCAAAAGAGAGTAGTTTCCATAAATATATTCAGATAAGATTGCAATATACTTGCCATGATTGATGACCTTCTGGAGCTGTAGCTAAAATCAAAAGTGTGACCAGAAGGGCCACGGGAAACTGCAACTGGCAAAATGCTCTCCGGGGGAACAATATGACTACATGAAAAGAATTGCAACTGGCCCGGTGGTAACCAAGGGAAGAGTCGCTCCCTTGTTTCTTCTATAGGTTGCAGAGTTCCCCCAGCCAGTACCACGGAATGTGCTTGATCTACAATCTGTGTAAGGTTGAGAGTTAATGTTTCATAACTAGGACATGAATACTAGGCTATGAAAACAAGCTATGTCAGAATAAGCAATTTTTGGCAAACCTCAGAAAAAATCTTATCCCCAGTGAGCATAACATATTTTATATATCGTCCATCCTCTCTAGAGCATGTTGTACTAGTCCTTGAGATGATAATCCTCCCATCACCATCTTTATTTGTCAGTGATAGCAACAAATTTGCTAAAGCTTGGAAACTGGACAGAGTGCTTCCGTCTTCACCGCCATTAAGTGCCAAATTTTTTTGAAAGCTAGCTACTTTATCGCCATACCCACTAACCTGGCACACCAAGTACATTTTAACCTATAGATCATGGAAAGAGATGGGAAGAATAGCACCAGGTAACAATATAGAATGGGAAGAAGGATTCACCTTGTGCATGATGTTGCTTTCCTTTATATACTGAAGCAATTTGACCAAGTTGATGTTGTCTACATTGAGGGAAAATAAAAAATCATTAATGGCCATAGAGGAAGTAGACATCCCACTTGCTCCAGAACCCTTTTCAGTATCACGGAAGGAATCTCCATAACTTCTATCATCTTTGAGAAACACTTGGCGGAAAGCCCGAGTGAGTACCATGAGAGTTTGGATATATCTACGATTACCAGGTCCCAATACATTGCAAAATCTTTCAAAGTACTTCTCGATGTGGCTGTGCACATCCTCCAGCTGTAAAGAAGTCAGGAGAACTGCTAAGATGTCAAATTACAATTTGTATCGAAAACCTATACTATCAACACCGGAAGCTTACTTGGTGGCACAAATTAAGGTTCTAACTTTGGACGGTGCTAACCTTAGACTATACATAGTGAAGACTACAGAATGCTACATTATGTTAAAGTTGTCTGCTATTCTATCGTTGGATCAGATAATTTGATAGATTTAGACAAGCAGTCAGAAGCACCCAAACTAGTTATATGAATGAAAAATAAAGATAATCCAGTAGCTTTCAAGTTATTAGCTCAATAAAAGCTCATAATTTGATTACCTGCGACAAAGTGATTCTTGAGTCATACATGCTGATTAAGGAGTCAGCTAGATTGTGAGCCTCATCTATAATAACGATATTATTCTTTAAATTGAGCCCAAGTGACTCGCGAGATGCTTTTGAAAGTAGAGATTGATACGGTAGAACCACCAGATCAGCAACAGTAACCATGCTTCGGGAGCCATAATATGGACAAGTCCTCATGCTTTTTCCAAGATGAACAAGATCTTCAATATCCAAGGCACCTTGTTGAGACATCATGCTCCTGAATTCCTTTTGTAGTTTATGTTTTCTAAGCATTGGGCAGCCACAAGAAGCCTTGTTCCTGCGAATCCTTCCTCCTGCACCCACATTCTGCAGATCAATATTATCATCAGTCAAGAGAAACCATTAACACAGAATGAGCTGAGAATGCTGTAGATCATATGGGGCATATGGCGCTTGATGGCTGGTGACCTTTAAATCAAGAAGAAAAGATTGCACTACAGCCAAGATGTATACTTAGTTTTAAAAATTATTAATCCATGCCCTGATATACATGGAGGTCATTTCATTATTGATAATAAACAGACCACCAGATCCGTTAGGTCTGTTGACCCACTTAAGTACTTCCAATTTATTCTTAGCCAAGAGCTATATTCTTAAGAAATTGGTTGAACACATTGGTGCACGATCATATGTAGACAATTCAATATGATTAGATATTCACATTTACAAAAAAAACCTATTCAATTAGATCATGTGTCTGTTCTGGCATTGGCATAAAGCATGCAGCACAGGGTAAAACAGGTCATCTGCTATATATCATGCATTTCTTATAAAAATAAATATACGATCATGCATTTCTTATGAAAAATATATATGGCCATGCATTTCTTATCAATAATGCATACGGACATGCATTTGTTACTTAGCTTAGCAGGCAAAGTGCATATTTATCGTTGGGCATCCAAAGAGCCAGATGCTGGATTAGAGAGCTAGAACCATATAGTGATATCAAATAATGGTATATGGTGATAATTGAGTACATACTTTGACCACAGAATGTAAGGTTAAATGGTTCTAAAACTGAAGGGCTCATACCAGACAAACAAATTATTTTTTCTCAAACAATATTGGGGGAAGAGGATTCGAACTCACAACCTCAAGTAGTCATGTGTAGGGGTAAATGCAATCAGATAGGCAAACCATAACAGAATGATTGATTAGAAGGAATAAGCACTAATGATCTTTAGTTAACAAAAATAATTAGATATCATCTATCTATCCAGAGAAATCCAATTCTTTAGTTGGACAAATGTCCCGTGAAACAAATTAAATCAAGTCTATGAATTATAACTAATGAGACTTTAAATGGATATATTTGTTACCATGATTTTGGAAACTTCCTTATTCTTGTTTCTTTGAAGTTCCAAACAGCGTTCATTAATGCGAGTTGAGTTTCCAAGTTTCAATACATCTGAAACCATGGCCCAGAAGAAGGTAAACGCCATTCAAATTGAAATCTAATAATTCAATGATATGATCCATACCTTCGTTGATGCAGAAGTTCCTCCTAGAGCCCAAACAGACCACCTTCATCTCATTAGCAAAAACAGTCTTCTTTAACTCCTTTATGAACTGTGAAAGCTGTGAATGTGTTCGGCTACAAAAATAAACCTGCAGCTTCTCGCCCTCCTCATATTCATCATCACCAGACCCATATTCTTCATCTTCCTCGCTTGAACTAAGGGAAACCCCAGCAACCTTCCTCTTTGACTTCCCACCACCCAGATTCCCTTCCTCTTCGCTTTCATAATCTTCCACCAAAAAATCTTCATCACTCAACTCCACAGCACCATTGCTCATTTGCAAATTGTTTCCCTCTTTCTTTGTGCAAGGCTCCTCCTCAACACTCCGCGAGAACAAATCTCTACAATTTTCATGGTTCCTTCTCTTATCGACCCTTCGAAATCCAATCCCAAACTTCTCCTTCATTTTATTCTTCATCTCCTCACTCTGCTTGTCTTTGTTAATGACAGCATTTCTCATCCAATCCGGTTCATCATCTGAGTCAACTTGACCATCTTTTGCACCATTACGATCAGATTCAATCCTATCTTCAGTCTTCTGTTGTTGCCTCCTATCAACCACCCATTGCAAAGCACTACAAATGATACTGAGAGTTTTTCCAGTCCCTATTGAAGTACAATAATTTCAAATCAAACCCAATAGAATAAGAAAAGGGAAGTTTTGGACAAAAAGTAGGGAAAAAAAGAAGGAAAAGTATTGAAATTAAAGTTTGTCGGTAATTGTAACTTCAAACTACTTCAACTCTAAAGTATGCAAATTCTTGTTTTTATTTGGTTCTCTCCATTGTCCTAGCAGTCAAAAGTGCATACAAGCAACCAAATCAAAAGGTTTTCCCATTCCTTTGAACTTGATAAACAGTAATAATCTTGAATCTTAGTTCATCTATGCCATAAATTAAAAAAAACTCTATGTGACAATAAGTGGCGGATGCCTAAAAAATGCAAGCATATAAAATGAGGGTTTTTCAATCAAAGTCGTAAGCTTGAATCTTCGATAATGGAGAAAAATATGCCTAAAAGGAAGAGTCCTATAGTATAGAGATTGAGCGGTGAGCTATGACTTGCCTGTGGGGCTTTCGAGCATGGAAAGACCTCCTTTGTTGAGAGAGTGATAGAGGGCGTTCATGAAATCGATCTGTATGGCGTAGGGCTTGTACGGAAATGCTGGAAAGTTTGGGGCTTCCTCCCCTTTTTCTTTTTTCTCTTCCATTTTCGTCTTCCTCTCTGCTTTTCTTCTTCGACTTTTTAGAGAGCTGGATTGCTTTGCTCTGGTAGCTCTCTCTCTCTCTCTCTCTCTCTCTCTACTCTCGAGCTCGACTCCGTAGACCTCTGTTTCGCGCGCTTTCACTTCACTCCAGCGAGGACCAAAAAATGGGCCTTTCCAATTGGGCCATTTTGTTTTAAATTTTTTTTTAGGAAGAATTAGGCCATTTGTCTAATTAATTCCTCTTTTTTCTTTATTTAATTTTTTGTTAATGAAAATAAATTTTATCCTTACATACTTCACAATGTGATCTTCCAAAATAAATTTTGTATCACATATTTCACTTATTAATGAAACATGATCACGACCCAAGAAATTATAAGTGTTAATGATCATCTAAAGTAAACTTGGCAAATATATGATTAATTGACTAGATCAAGTTAACAATGAACGCATATTTTTCTTTTTGCTTTTTTTTATACAAGTGATATTGAGTAAGTGGAGATTCGAATATAAGACCTCGATTGCAAAGATAACTACTCTTAACAACTTGAGTTACGAGCCTCTTACACGTGTTTTGATTCTCAAGCCCAGCATAAAAAAACAATTCTTCTTTCTCCTTTGGTATATTGGAGGCCAAAGGCCCAAAACAGAGGAAACAGGAAGACACATAGGCCACAGAGTCAGGCCCATATCTACACTCAAAGCCCAGGCCAACAAATACCATCATTATTCAGCTACGAAGTTCGACTTACCCTAAAACCCTCATTCGCTTTCATATATATATTCACCCTCTCCGCCGCTCACTTCTTTAGCCTGAACACCTCCATCTCACAAGCTAGGGTTTTCTCTGCGCTCCAATGGTACCTCTTTCTCACTCCTTTGCTCTCTATGTATTCTGTTATATTAGGTTTTGGTGGATCACCATGTTTACGCGAACTGATCGGGTTTTTTTTTCTTCTGTGGGAATGAAACAAATGGACACAGGGGAAGGGAACAGGGAGTTTTGGTAAGAGGAGGAACAAGACCCACACCCTCTGCGTGAGGTGTGGACGTCGCAGCTTCCACTTGCAGAAGAGTCGCTGCTCGGCTTGTGCCTTTCCTGCTGCTCGCAAGAGGAAGTGTATGTCTTCAAACCACTTTTATTACCTACATAATCTATCTCTATTGGTCATAATATGAATCTGGTAGATGATTTGTTGATGTGCTTTGCATTTTTGTTGGGATTTTTGAATAACCAGAAAATGAATTTTTCATTTTGAAGATGATTTTCCAGGAAAATGTTTCCTTTTTATGATTTTTGCTTCTGGGTTTATTTTTATGCTTTGTGTTGTTTTTTGTTGGTATTAAAAAAAAATAGACAACTGGAGTGTTAAGGCCATCCGAAGGAAGACCACTGGAACTGGAAGGATGAGGTATCTGCGCAATGTTCCTCGCAGATTCAAGAGTGGCTTCAGAGAAGGTATCAGTCAGATCATGTTTCTATTGTTAGATGTTGATGGCATTGCTCTATTTGTAGTTCTTCATTTGTTTGTTTTGTGCCTATATTGATTTTCTCATTTGTTTTTTTAAAGGTACTGAAGCTGCACCAAGGAAGAAGGGAGCAGCAGCAACTGCTTAAGCTTTCCAATGAGTGATTTTGAATGTCATTTGGGGTACCCAATTTTAGCTTTAGAGAGCGATTTTATGAGTTTGGACAAGTTCTATATGAGCTTTGTTATTGTTTTTGATGGATGTTATAACTTTTATTGTTTTAATTGGGATCTTCCTTTCCTTTTAATAGTAGTTGCTTTCAGTTTGTGACAAGAATGAATGAGCCTCATGTTGCCTTTTCTAATTATTGTTTAAATGATGTCTAAGATTTTGTTGGGTTTTGGTTGGTTTCTGGGACTAGACTGAGCAATGAGTTAGGTTTTCTAGTTCATTATAGGTTATATTGGTTTTATGATATGTAAGTTTGCCCATGAATGCCAGGCTAACGACTGCGGTGATAGTCAAACTTAATTTACACTCACGGCATTGTTCATATCCAGTTGGGTCATGGAATTAGTATGATACTATATGGAGATATAGTTGTGTGCAGGGTTGCAGTCTTAGTTACTGTCTTTTTGATTCAGATACTGTCTGCTATATAAATGCAGATATGCTTAATGTTAATGAGCTACAAACGCTAATGGTTGGGACAGAATTAACGTACCCGTAGATGTTTGCATGTGAATTGGTTCTGTAACTTCTGTTACTGTCAACTAGGTAGTGTGATTGTTCTCGTTTTGGTTTATTAGTCTGATTATGCAGGTTTAGTTGATTAACGTAGTGTTGATAAAAGCTACTTTGAATTTCGCCCTTCTCGTATCATTGTGAAAAAGGACAGCATTGGTAAATGATTGGCTAAAAGTCACTTTTGGTCCGTGTAGTTTAGCACTTAAATCACCTTTGACCCTATACTTTCAATTCCGTCAATGTTGATTCTGTAGTTTCGTATTTGTAGCAATTCAAGGGCAAGTTAGTATTCTTGTCAATTTCTTTGACGGTGCAATGGGCAATTTCATCAACCCAAAATCCTTGAGCATAAAAGCTCATCTGAAACTCTCCTAATTTCATATTAGGGCTTTAAATTGGTCATTTGGGTTTAGGGTTCTTCAAAATTTGGAATTAGTTGTGGAATTTTGAGCCCTAATTTGAAATGAGGAGAATTTGAGACAAGTTTTTTCGCTCAATAGTTTTGGGTTGACAAAATTGCCCTTTGCACGTTGAAGTAATTGACAAGAACACTAATATATCTTTGAATTGCTACAAATACGAAACTACAATGGCAAAATTGACGAAATTGAAACTAAAGTGGTTGAAGTGCCAAACTACAATGACCAAAAATGACTTTTGACCTAAATGATTTAGCATCGCACTTTAATAACTAGGATCTTGAGTAAATGCTTCAAATCACTTGAGTTACAACTTGAGAGTCCCTTTCAACACCCCATTAGTTTGCTAAATCAGTTTTTTACATGGGATTGTAAACTATGGTTTCATGGTGACCGTAAAAAATATTCGAAATGGTGCCTAAATATCCTCTTGTAATGAGGGTGTGCACAACATATTCATGTACCTTGCTGGTACTTGAATAAACGTCACTATTTTTTATGTGGAACATCTGAAATATGAAATTTCTTGATCTGTTAAGTCGGTGCAATAAATGTAATCCCATTTGGTCAAATGAATAGTCGGAAAACTAAAGGAGATAAAAAAGATTGAGTCCTGAATCAGGCCGAAAAGAACAAAGAGTAGTTTCTGAATATGGGGTATTGTATATTTGCACTAATCTCAAGATTTACAATGAATTTCCTCAAGATGCTATAACTAAAGAGCTACTTACAAAATTCAGACAAGAATGACTTGATTCTCTTGATGCCAATACAAATGAAAGGCAACAAAGTCGGTTGCATAAAAACCAAACCAGACCACAGAATCATGTTGCCAGGCTGTGCTCCAAATGAGGAAGAAACTATGCAGAGCAATGGTTCTTACTTGATCTCAAAATCTATCGTGAAATAGAATGACCCGCTATTGTGCTTTAAACTCGCCAAATCTATGCTTTTCTTCATGCAACTGCTTAAACACATAATCCAGCTCTGGAAATGCCGACATAAGTAGCAGCTCCAGAAGGTCATAAGCCAGTTGTTTCAAACAAACAGATGACTATTCAAAGAAGAAAAGAAGCTGTTACAACTCTTTAAAAGAATCCAGATAAGAAAATACAAGAAGCATCCTTAACCTTCTAAAAAACAATAATTACCTGAAGAAAGTAATATAGATCCTTGGCGCATTTGTCATACTCTCTACTACCAACCAGACCGACAATAGCTGCAGGTGCATTATCTGCATTTAGAACCAGAAAATTTGAGTATGTTATTGACGGTCCCAATAGACACGGGTATGAATTAAATATACTGCTGCCAAATGCAGAAAATAATAGGGTTTTGCAGAACAAGGTAATACCAATCATTAGTTCATAAACCAACTTTGCACGTCGATCTGCCTCCTGTTTCTGCTTCTCATCAAATCTAGGTGATGATATTTCTGTAGGTTTCTGGCCCTGAGGTGAATTCTGTGCTTGGTTGGTGGATGGTGGTCTTCGCTTTGGATGCTTGGTTATAAATATTCCATCAGGCCATAGTATCTATCAAAGACAAGTAATCAATTAACACCAGCATCTAAGTCTTCCATTTTAAAACTATCAGAGTTAATTTTCAATAGCAGCATTTTCAATTCTGGTTTGGGGTTTTTTATTTTTAATCAAAGATAGAGAAAGGAAAATCGAAGAATAATAAAACGACATGATAACACAATGAGAAAATGGATATGGAACAGTCCATAAAATAAAAACCGAAACTATATTAAATTTTTTTGTTTTGTTTTAGTTTTATGTAGTTTTTCTTTTCTTGGTTTTAGTTTCACGTGATCTCCCTCATTTCTTGATCATATCTCTCATATCTCACCCCTCTCCCTCTTCTATCCCATATATTTTTCCTCTCTAACTTCAAAATAACATAAAGTTATAAAACGAGCCTCATTAAATCATTAATATAATTCAAAATCAGCTTGCTAAGGGCCCATTTTTAACCCTTTTTTTTTTTTTGGGTTGTATTTTTCAATCGAAAATAAGGAAGAAGAAAGATGATGGAGTGGGGAGGAGAGGAGTAAATACATATACAGTGTGTTTTCCAAATAAAAACTCTAAATATTTCAATAGTTTTTAATTTTTTAGTTTAATAGTTTTAGTTCTATGCACTCTACTTCTTTTCTTATTCACCTCTCTCATCTCTCAACTTGATTTCTCCATTCTTCAAAACATTTCCCCTCTCTTTCTTTAACTGAAAACAAAAAACAAGAACCTTATCGAATGAAGCCTCTCAAGATTAGATGTGAGCCCACATAATCACTTAGCATTCCATACATTCTAGAGCCCATCTCTCCCCTAAAACAAATGTTAAATTCTGTAGCATTGGCCACACAGCAAATGCTATCACCAACTTCTTTACATTTGAACTACGTCAGTCTTAAG